GCAGCCCCGCCCGCGGCAGGCGCTCCCAGCACCCCACGGCCCCTCAGCCGCTGCCCCTCACCATGGTCGCGCCGCCGCCGCCCCCGCCAGCGCCGCCCCGTCATGTGACTGCGCCGCGCGCACCGCCCCGCCCCGCCGCCGCGCGTCGCCCATTGGCTCGCTCCGAGGAAGGGCCGCGCCGCGCGCCCATTGGCGGACCTGGCGGTGACTGGCGGCGCGGAACGCCAATGGGCTGCGAGCGCGCCAGGCGCGGCGGGCGATGGAGCGCGGGGCCGTGCGGGCCATGGCGGCCCGGCTGGGCCTGGCCGAGCCCGCCCTGCTCAGGTACCGCCGCTCGCCCCGCGCCGCCCTGCCCGCGGCCGGCTCCGGCACCGCGGCAGCGCCCGCCTGGGCTGTGGTGGGTGTGCTGGAAGTAGCAGAGCCGCGGGCTCAGGGACGCATCGCCGGCCCTGCGGTGCAGAGCTGCTGCTGCTCAGCATCAGAGAAGGGCGGCGGTGCCCTCAGCACCCCGGGCCCTGCGGCCGTGCTGCAGCCCGACTGCCGAGCCTTGGGTCGGGGCCTCTGGGACATTCTGCCTTGTAGCTGCGGATTTGACGAGGGCTTTGCGTTCTGGGTGTTTTGCAGAAAAGCTGAGGAGTATCTGCGGCTGTCCCAGGTGAAGTGCACGGGGTTAATGGCTCAAATGACGGCGACCAGCAGTGCTGTGATGTGCCTGGACCTGGCGGCGAGTTTCATGAAACAACCGGTTGACAAAGTAAGATAGAGCGTGTGACTTGGCTGCCTGGTGCATTCCGCCTGACTCCACAAAACCACTGTTCTGAGTGTTGGGAGCAGGAATGGGAAATAATAACTAACTTTCCCCTAAATCCCGCAGTTTGCTGTGTTAGAGCTGTCACTGTTCAGTTTGAAACAGTGAAAATTGAGATCACCATCATAGTCCCTTCACAAATTGAGCTTGCTTTGGTATAGTGTCAACTTTCAGCTCTCATAGTAACAAACAGATTACCAATAAGGATGTTAAATTTAAGATGTCTCTTTTACTGTGGGAAGAAAGCAGCTGCTCTAAGAAATCTCTCACTGCAGGGGTACTTGTAAACCTCCATCTGTAAATCTACCAGGTGAATAGCACTAAGCTGTCAAAATAATGCCTGGTACAACCTATTAATGATTGTCCAATTACAGCAGAGGAGAATTTAATTGGACCTGATTCCACAAAGGTGTTGCTCATGTCTTCAACCCAGACTTTAGTAATTTTGTCACTAATTACCTTGTGATAAAGGGGCCATGTCATGTATGGAAATGTCAAACCTCACCTCCAGTGAAACGGCCTAAAAATATCACTGCATTAAAAGATGTGGCATTCCTAGGTGGTTAATCTTTCTGTGTGCAGTCAAAACATACATAATCCATTGCACAAATTTGTTTAATGTAGCAACTGAACTTAATGGTTGTGTTGGTTGCCTGATTAAGATGCCAGAAAGGTCTCTTGCTAATTCTTGGGTTTGTGTTTGTCTTCTTGACAGAGCTATTGTGTTAAACTCTCTGGTTTGAACAAGACCACCTACCAGAGCTCCATGAAGTCTTTGGAGTGTTTGCTAGGGGTGAACCAGAGGCTGGGGATGAGAGACTTGGCTGTGCAGTTCTGCTGCTCAGAGGCAGTGAACACGGCTTCAGAGATCCTGCAGAGGTGAGGAAGCTCCTGTGGGCACACTGGGAACCACAAGTAGGGTTCTTAGCTCTTCAGGTGTGTAAAGAACTTGATGAGTAGAAGAGTATCTCCTACTGACTGGAGCACTGAGGTGAGTTCTTAGCACTGAAAATCCAGCCATGAGCTGGGCTACTTTTTAGAGTACCTGTTAGAAAGATTTAGTCTGTGAATCTCAGTAACTGATTGTCCAACTAGGAATTTTTCAGCTGGGAATAGTGTAAAAAATATAGGACTCTTAATCCCATAGCATGACACCATCATCCATTTAACTGCTGATCATGGCACAGTTCAGAAGTTATGCTCAGTAGAAATAAATCCTCCCTTTTGGGGATAGAGATCCCTTAAAATGCATGTGACTCTACCTGTAAAACCAATAGGTAGAACACTTCGGTGGAGATTCAGCAGAGTTGAGTAAAGGTTCCCATTCTGTATGAGCTGCTTTAAGCAGAGAGCTCTCCCTGAGAGCTCAGTGCTGTCAGCCTGAAAGCACATGTTTAATGCTGTTAGGGCAGTGCACAAAGGCTGTGCTTGCTTGGTGGCACTTAATACAAACTGGAAAAAAATAGCCTGGGGCAGGTGGACAGTAAAAAATGACATTTTTCAGTGCTGCACATCCATTTTGTCCTTTTCCATTTATAAGCCTCCCTCTCTGTAACATACATATTCCAGGGAACAAAGAAACTGTATTGCTGCCTTCTGCTGTAGGATGGATTTATGGAAAGCCTCTCACTGTAAATGTTAAGATGTTAGGGAGAGCTAAAAGTGCTGTGTGGATCGGGAGAACAAGAAGTAGATTTTAGTGACTGCCTTGATCCAGATCCCCAGTTTAAAATGCCTCTAATTCCAGAAGAGGAGGTCGTCCCAACCCCCTTCTTTCCCTCATCTGTTTTGCTCTTCTCGGGCAGTAGCAGCTGTTTCTGCTTGACTGGGTTGCAGAAGCCCAGGTGGTCCAGCAGACCTGTTCAAGGTCTCAGTGGCAGATGGATTTGTCCTTCACGTGAGGCAAATGCCCAAGTGTCGCTTGCTGTTCCCCAGGTACGAGTGCAGCCTCTCGGAAGCACAGCGAGTGGACCTGGACTTCTCCAAACCCCTGTTCATAACAGCTGCTCTGTGCACTGCATGCAGGTGAGTGCAGCCTGGGAGACCTTCTGCAGGCTGAAATGAAATGCCTGCTGACACACCAGCCAGTGCCAGCAGCTCATTCATTCAGGGTCTTGCTTAGCATATCCTGCTGCCCTGCTCCTGCAAAGGAGACAGCTGGAGCAAACCAGGCCTTTCCTCATAGTGAAGTGCACTGCACAAAGCAAACACTTACATGGCTTCTGGTGAAATGCTGCTCAAGCTGCAAGAAGGGCTTCTGAGCACCAAGAACCAGCCATTCTGAGGAAGGAAAAAACCCAAGAGCTAGACCATCACATCCTGAGGATGCTGTAGCATTTGGGAGATGGCTCTGATAGCTGCAGGCCCATGTCAGCTAAGAGAGGTGTGTGACTCAGCCAGCACTTGGGAGGAATTTGCTTGTATGCAAAGATCTTCCTCCCTCAGCATTACACCCTGTGACAGTCACATTCAGCAGTACAGGTGCTGTGTGGTTGCACAGCTCCTGACAAGGGCTCTGTTGACACATGCACTCACATTCAGCTCTTTGTTGTAGTGGCACTTTGTCCTGGTTTCCCTGAAAATCTGAAAAGTTACCTTTTCCTGAAACAATTCCTTATGTAAGTAAGTTGAACTCACCCTGAGTTTCAGTTGAGCTGTATTGACTGAGTAGTGTCATCTTGTTTTTTAACCAGATTTATTTCTGAGTAACACAAGTAGACATGGGACAAAAGGTCAGGCCTGTCTTCCTCATTCTCACAGGCAGTGTTGGTACAGTAATTATCACCTAACCTAAACGATAGTTGCTGGAGTGTTACTTTGTACAGAGATAACTTTCTCTTGTAGGTGTTTGAAGCTAAAAGTGGACAAAACTAAAATGGTGGCTACATCTGGAGTGAAAAAAGCAATATTTGACCGGCTGTGCAGTCAGCTGGAGAAGATAAGCCAGCAACTCAGCAGTAAGTTTTTGGCTTTGTCCGTGTAAGACAGCACACCCATCCCATGGCCTCACAGTGCCCCATCCTGTTCCACTGGTGATTTCAGTCTGATCACTTTCAGCTGTCCCCTTCCAGCCAAATCTGCTCATCTATTCCATTCCAACATGTTTCCTGCAGCCCAGTTCCACTCCCAGTCCTTGATTCTGGACAAGTTGCAGTAGCTTAGCAAGAACAAAAATAGGGAAAAAGTGGCAAGGACAAAAATAATATTTTCCTCTCTTCTCAAATGCTCATTGCTCTTTACAGTCTCTGCTGCTGCAATTTATTTCTTGCTTCTCCCATACTACCTGACCTATCTTGGATTCCTCCCTCTTGCCGGGTTTCTGCATCCTGTTAACATGGCAACCTGGCACACAAATGATCACTAACATCTTCTCAGGCTGACTCACTCATGTGCTTTCCTTTCCCCCACTGCAAGATTAACAGCATAAGCCTTGCTGTTCTGCTCAACTCAGCCATTCCCTGGCACCACCCCTCCTCATACACTGGGGAGGGAGATGTCAGAAATATTTCTTGCCCATTGTTGAGCCTGCAGCTCTCTCTGCTTTTTGTGGGGGAGAAACCCTGAAATACAATATGTGCCTAATGTCCTTGTATTTCTGCTGCCTCTTCTTTCTCCTTTTTCTTTTCCCAGGCTTTCTTTTTTTTTACTTTCTCACTGAAAGTTATCCTCTCTCACTGTGTCTTCATACCCTGATGTTTTCTGCAACATGCTGCCTGAGTCTACCCTAAAAGCTGCTACTTTCTCCTAGGCATGTACCCTATAAAAACACAAACATTACCCCAGCACTAAAGCAACTAAAAACAACTGGGAATTTCCAGAATTCAGGGAAGAGTGTGCATCTGTCTACCTGCACAGCTCCCTGCCTGTGGTGGGTATCTATGAAAATAATGGGAATGAAATAGAAGGGAAAGAAATAATTGATAATCCTGCCTGAGTGACCTAGAAGGGTAGCAGTGTGGTTTGGGGCAATCAACATGGTGGATCATTGTGTGTACCAATGCAGCAGGCTGCTAATTAAAGCAGCCAGTCAGTTGAAGTGCTGGCATCTCTTGTAGAGCTTGAGCATCAGTCTGGACCAGGGAAGAGCTCTGACTGGACAACAGTACTTGTGGAAGTGGCTCTGTTGTTAAAGAATTACATTTAGGCCACCCTTGGAGCACCAAATATCATTCAAAAGCAAAGCAACTTACTTGTTTTTTTAGAAGATGTTCCACTGGCTGCAGAGACGCCTGACAGCTTGCAAAGCACCCTGGAGCAGTGTGAGCAGGAAGATGGTAAGTTGTGTTCAGCTGTGAGTGAAAATCACCTCACTGGAGTAGTTCTGAGCTTTCTTGCTCATGTTTGAGTTGTGTGATGGGCCATGATGCTCCAGCACACAGCAGCTCTCAATCCTGCAAACCTTTGTGGAAGCACAACGAGCCTGGCAGCAGGACAGAGGAGCTCATACTGAGTAGTCCCAGTAGAATGAAGGACATCTGCTCTGTTCAGACAGAGGGACACAGGTGACTGTCCCAGCAGGTGAGGGGAGCAGCACCACAGGATTAGACAGCACAGGGACAGCCCCCTCCTGCTGTCTGTACATTGCTCACTGCCTGTTAGCCCCAGCAGCATGCTGCCATGATGGCCTCTCATGGGCTTTCTTTTTTCCTCACAGGCTCTGAAGAGGATGAGGAACTGCCATGTAAACGGCCAAAGACTGAAACAAATCAGGACTATGAGGAGTGGAAAAAGAAAATCCTGGAAAATGCTGCTAAGGCACAAGAGACAAGGAGTAGTGACTCTGTAATGCCACCCAGTAATGGAACTGCTGCTTGCTCTTGATTTTAACTCTCCCTCTGCTCTAACAAGAGATTCAGTAGCATGTGAATGATGGCTGCCTGGCAGACAGCTGATTTTATTTAGGTTTTAAGTATTTAAGAATGTTATTTTTAATAAATGACACCACAGAGTGATGGGATTTTACAGGAAGTGTGTGTGACTGCTCACCAGGCTGTGGCAGTAGGAGTAGAATAGCTTCATCCTCTTCTGCAAGAAGCAGATAACATTCTAATGCTACTTTAAGTGTAAATAAGTTATAAGTTACAGGCCCTTGGGCCCCTGGCTGTATAGGAGCTATACACAAGAGCTGATCCTGCAGCACCCCTGTTTCCTAGGACACAGACCTTGGATATTCAGGGGTAATTCAGAACTAAAATGTCAGTGAAATAATAAGAAGGGGACTAACAGTGCCTTGTTAAACTGCAAAGCCAGCAGAAAAATAAAGCCTTGTTTGTTTAGTTTTTTTGGGGTTTTTTAATAAATATTTTTTAGTCAATGAATTTGACTTATTTTTTTGTGTATAGGAATGAAATCTCTTGTGCTTTTGTAAGGAGTCCCAAATATTCCAAGAAACAACAAAAGTACTGGAAAGACAAGCTTTGTATTATGACATCTTCTTGGCACAGGTACTTGGAATGCAAAATAAAAAACATGGAGGAGATGTCTGTGCCTTAAGAATGAAGATATCCAGAGGAAAAGGATGTTGACTGGGCAACAGATATTTTGTGTCTCACAGTCAAGCTTAGAGAAGAGGTCTTCCATTTCTTTTGCAGTTTTCTGCCTGGCCTGTATCTCTGGACCCACTCAGAAATACTTGCAGGTTTGTTTGGCAGTAGGGCTTAAAACAATGTTGATGAATATTCTTGTTCCACTTTCATGAAATTTATTAGTATTAATTCAGAAATATACAGATCCAATGAATACAATGACATTCAGCATGCAGAAGCACTGTGGAAGGAAAACATGAACAAAAGTGGGCCTTCATAGAAGGTGATAAATGATCAAGATTCTTCTCTGTCCCAATTCTGGAAATGCTGCAAAGTCAGGACTATGCAAAGTGAGAAGCACTTGAGTGGAAAAGATAGCTAGACCAGAGTAAGGCAGTCTTACAAACCTCATCATTAGCAACCAACACTTCTGCAAATTCAAGGGGTGTGAAAGTCCACAAAGTTCAAAGGAACTTTACAGGTGCCTTTGCTGGAAAGCTATTTTTAGTAATACTAGTTTTCATTTTTCCTAAGAGTCCATCCAGTTCACACTGAATTTTGCAGAATCCAGAAGAGGAAACCACAGGTTTAATAAATAATATTGTACTTTTAGCTGAGACATTGTAAGTGGCTCCCACTCTATGCATAAGAAAAGAATTTAAAATCCAAAATAAGTTTAATATTGTGAAGAAAAGGTTTAATGTTCAAGAGCTAAGTGAGGGGGAAAAAAGGGCTTCAATCTCCTAACTGGACTAAAGGCAGAGTCTGGCAACATGCTGTTTCCCTGGCACTGAACCTATTAGAAATGAAACCTGTTTTGCATGTCACACCATACCAGCTCCTCATACTGCAGTAAAATTTCCAGAGAGGAGAAAAAATCCTCAAACTAAAACTTGACAACTTAAGTGCTGCAGTCATGGACAATGAAAAGCACTTACAAGTTTTAAAAACATAAAATGTCTGGAACTCTCCTCTTTTCTCTACAACATGAGATCTTTTTGCATAGATCCAACAGTCATTAGGTGATTTGTATGCATGGCAGTTTCACACATCTCCTTCCAGAAGTTCAGTCAGTTCAGCTCAATTCAACTTGCCGTAAGAAACAGCAGCAATGGACTGACTGAAGTTACCTCAAACCAGGGTTCCTCATAGTTCTTAACTATACAGTGACTATTTTTTAAAGGAGAGAATAGAGTAATAAAAAAAAACAAAACAACAAACCAAAACCATCCAAGCTGGAGTTGCACTGAAGCATCTTCATATTGTGGGGAAATTACCTTTTGGAAAGAAATATAGAAGAAAACAATGTCTGTGTCTTTTAAGTAACAAACACCTGAGGGACAAGTTGTGCCACTGTGTGGCAGTTCTCTAAAGCTGGCAACACACAAACATCAGTCAGGAAAAAGTCTACACATCCCATACTTGGTGTGAGAGACCAGAAAACTGCCAGGGGTTTTCTGCTAGAAACACACCAACAATACTCTGCAGAATCAAAGCCTTCAGCAAGAAGTCAGCCCCAGTAACAGCCACGTTTTTCCACCACTGTATAGAACAATTAAAAACTTGTAAAAACAAACAAAGTAGCTTCTGTTTTTAGAAATCTTGTGTTTCTTCCTTATGGTTCTTCTGGAACCACAACACTAACACACACAATAATTGAGGGAGACAGTCCCAAAACCTTATAAAACAGGGATAGAAACACTGAGTCCTCCTTCCATGGCCTCATGTCCATCTCCAGGAGTGGAGGAGGTTTCACACAAGCTCACGCAAGCTTGACAGACATACTCTGAAATCTCTTCAGCCTGTTAGCAGCAGCCACCACATAAAAATGTTTCTGTGAACAGAACAGAACAGTCCAAGTGTGAATGAAACCGAGGCAAAGGAACTTCTCTGCAGCTGGCAGGGATTTCTCTATCTAGTAAAACCATTTCCCCCAGCTTGTGTGGGTTGCAGTGGTTCTTGCACAGCACTGTGAGGTTCTTCCGTGTTTTTATGAAATGTACAGTGATAGGTCTTTAGATTGTGTCATCTTTAAAATGCAAGTGCAGAAGTTTGCCACCAAGCAGTTGCAGCGCAGGACTGAAAAAAGTGTAAGCCTCTTTTAACTCTTTTTCAAGGAAATGCAACTCCCCAGTGACAGAAGGGAAGGAAATGGTCCTCACTGAGTTTGCCTCACAATTCCACAGGCTTCTTTCTAACAAGATTGCCGTGTTCACCTTTTAGGTGAACTATCTAGAACCAAATAGAGACTCAAAACCAAATTATTACCTATCACTTCATAAACACTTAGTTGAGAAGGAGCCTGGGGTTATCAGTAAGATCCTGAAGAGTTCTCTTGATGGGTTTAAGCCTAGGTTTTTTCCGCTCTCCCACACTCCCATTCTGCAGTGGGAGGCACAAACTGCCTTAAGTTATATCCCTAGTCCTTAGTGACAACAGATCAATGCAACTGCTAGCAATGGAAAAAGTATAAAGAGAAGGAACTTCTAATATAAAGTAGCATCTGAAGCCTCTGAACATGTAGAAAGAAGGGTGTAAGAAACTTGTTAAGCACCAATCAGCGTGAAAATTGAAACCAAACTTGCAGAGAAATAGAAGCAGGACAAAACACTTCCTTTGCAGGTAAAAACAGACTTCTGATATCCAACTGATACTTACAACCAAGAAGCCTGCGGGCACCAGTGCCCACCAGCCAGAGGAGGGAATGGCTGTGCCTGTTGTGTGATTTCCCCGCGGAAGCAGATTTATTTACCTTCCATTTCCTGTGGGCCATGTAGCTCTGCAGCAGCAGCTGGGACTTCAGGCGCCGCTTGCACTTCTGGGCCTTGGCAGGGAGCTCGCTGAGCCACGGGTGCTTCAGGCACTGCGTGGCGCTCATCCGGCAGCTGCAGGGAGGGATCTGCGTGAAAACCCAGCCCCTCTGCTCCCCTCTCCTTGGGAGGGATAAAGAAACTGCCCAAATGAACGCGCCGTGCGTGGGATGCCAACAGCATCCTGCAGTCTCCAGCAGGAGGGGTGAGTGGGATGAAGGACTGCTGCTGGCTCTGCAGTGCCCTGGTTGAGCTGTGCTTAAGGTAATGTATCACTTCATTATGCAAATACAGAACTTTGCTAATGGAAAAGTAACATTTGCGGTGTTATCTGTCTGTCCTGACAGCACAAGCTGTGCCACATATTTATAAAGGATATTCTGTGCCTCATATTTAAAAAGCACCATTGTCTATTCGCCCTAAACTTGGATCAAGCTAAGCATACTTAATATCCTGACATCCAACAATAGGCTCAAATGCCACAACCTATCCTAAAAGGTTTGGGAAATATATGGTAATAGAGGAAATCTTCAGGTAGAGGTGTTGAGAACAAAGTTCAATTTGCCTTTTTTCAAATTAAAAGCCTATGTCTAACTCCTGAGCTCCGTGTGAGCTGTCACTGAGCTGATGAAAAGACAGCTCCTGCCTGCCCAGCCCGATTTCAGCAGGGAGGGAGGGGGCTGCAGATCCTGCCAGGGCCAGACCCACTGTCCCAGCAGGGCAAAGGTGCCTGGGCTGCAGGAGAGCAGAGGCTGCCACACACCTTGGGAGCAACTGGGCCAGCTAATCACTGCTCTCTGCAACTCACTGCCAACACTCTTCTCTCACATACTCATTTCATTCACAGCTCCTAACCAGACTTTGAGAGGGTGCCTCTGGACACCCTAATCCCATTGCACAGAAAAATTGAAGACTCCAAACTTTACAGTCTCACAGCAAATCATCACTAGAGTCTAAGAAAAAATCATTAGATCTCTCCTGTTGGCAATATGCTAAATTTCAGTTAGTTCTTTGTTTTTCATAGCAACCTATTGTTCAGAATGGAATTAGTACTAGAACTGATTTGTCTGATTTAGGTAATGATCTGGAAGTTGTTAATATTCTAAGCACTCCTTTGAATTCCCCTCAAACACACAATCTGTTTTACTGTATGCATCATTTCCTGATTTGATTAGTTTTGTATCACTACTCAGCAAGAGAAAAATTTCTGTACCCGGCCAATCCCCCAGCCATGGTCTGACATCAATATGATCCTCATTCTCTGTATTGTTTCATATGTGCAATCACTTTGTATCTCAGTGGAGCCAAGAATGAGAAGCCACAAGCAGAGTGGCTCCCAAATGCTCCCTAATATCTCCCAAAAGCCTGTAGACCACTTTAGAAGAGAACAATGCACATTTTCACAGCTGCAGCTTCCATTTATCCTCCATGGCATTCAAGAGGCATTTTTGCAATTTCTGTCAAGGCTTGTGCCAGTCCAAACTAACAATAGAAATAGTTTTTGCTCAGAGAAGCAAAAGCTTTAGAGACAGATTCCTGTACTGCAAATCCTTCCAGATTTCCTGTGTTCTGCCTGTATTGATGCTACTGTGAAAAGCAAATTTCCTCAGTCAGGGTACACAGACACTTGCCTTTAAAATGGGCTTCTGAATCACTGAGGAACTGCCCAGCAAGCCCAGAGCCAGCACACAAAAATGTCACACAGTAAGTTCTCATTGTTGGCTGCAATCCAAACAATTGGCTGGTAAGAATTTCATACCATTGGTGCCACTGCTCACAATCAGACCCAGGTACCTTTTCTCCTTCACAAGCAGTCTGGAAATAAAGTCTTTGGCGTCCTCTGAGAGCTGTTCAAATGCTTCTGCATCAAAATCCCAGCTGCAATTGACTACATAATTCATTGTCTCTGCATCAGTCTCTCCCAGGAATGGGGACAGGCCACTAAGCCTTAAAAAAAGAAAGATGGGGTGGGGAAAGAAGAGCAGTTATCATATGCAAGGTGTGGTTTTCCTTCTGTGAATCTTCTGCTTTGTA